AGATCCAGTTGGCTGGGGACTCCATTTCCCAGCCGCCCCTGCCTGCATGGCTTGTACCATTCTCCATGGAGACCCCAGCCTCAGCTACATTGGCAGTGCACGTGGCAGAGGAGCGCAGGGGGCTGCTCAGGAACCACTGGGATCTTGCGGTGGGGCAGCTTGCTCCAGAGCCAGGTCAGAGCCCTGATACGTAGCCTGCCTGCTCCAGGCAGGAGCATGCATGCAGGGGATTGTGACTCTGCCCCAGCTCCTTGCAGCAGTGACAGCCTGTCTGGAGCTGGGGCAGAGCCACGATCTCCTGTATGTGTGCCCCTGCCCGGAGCATGCAGGCTACAGATCACGGCTCCGGAGCAAGCTGTCCTCATCCCACATTCCTGGCAGCTCTGGAGCAGCCCCCTGCGCTGCACTGCTGGCACAGCTGAGGTCTCCATAGAGATTGGCACAAGCCATGTGGGCAGGGGCAGCTGGGAAATGGAGTCCACAGCCAAGTGGCAGCCCGGAGGTTCCCCATGCCTGGGTTAGGGGATAGATCATTCTAGGAATGTTCTCCCTCTAAGCATCTGCTTCTGTCACTGTTGGAGACAGGTTACTGGGCTACAGCAACCCAATAGGTGACTTCTTATGTTTTTGTGAAATAATTGGGTCACGTGCCTCGTTTTCCTCCTTGGAGGAGGGGTAAACTAATAATGGCCATTATTAGTTTAGCCTTCCATAGTCTGTACTTGTAGGGTCCTTTCCTTACCCCTGTAGTTCTCATGTGCTGCTTCCTGTCTCTCGGGGAGATGGAACCTTTTTCCATATTGCTCTGTGATCTGTTTGGGATTCTTGTTTAAACACTCATGCCATGCATTAGAGCCATGTGTTAGCTGATTTGGCTTTTAAAGAGCTTTTTGCTCTCTTGGATAAGTCAAATGGAAACTACTTTGATTCAGGTCACGCAGCCTAGAACAAGCATCAGAAATTTATATATGTTCTGTAGCATAATGCCGCTGCCACCGGGGTCTTGTATTAAGAGTTTTCATATTTTGGAAGTGACTCAGATTAGCACTTTTTGGGTGAAGAGCAATACCTTACTTTTAAACAGCGCTCTTCACCTTTCCAACACTTTACAAAGGAAGCCTGGATATTTATCTCCACTTGACATATAGGGAAAATGAGGTACAGAAGACTGAGGGGATTTGATAACAACCATAAACTACCTGAAGGGGGTTCCAAAGAGGGTGGAGCTAGACTCTTCTTGGTGGTGGCAGATGACAGAACAAGGGGCAATGGTCTCAAGTTGCAGCAAGCGGGGTTTAGATTAGAAATTAGGAAAAACTTTCTCACTAAGGGGGTGGTGAAGCACTGGAATGGGTTACCTAGAGAGGTGGGGGACTCTCCATCCTTAGAGGTTTTTAGGGCCCAGCTTGACAAAGCCCTTATTGAAACGATCTAGTTGGGGATGGTCCTATTTTGAGCAGCGGATTGGACTTGATGACCTCCTGAGGCCCCTTCCAACACTCATTTTCTGTGATTCTAAGTGACTCACTTCAGGTTCCTCACTGCAGACTGACATCAGCCAGGAATGGACCTATGACCTCCTGAATCCGAGTCCAGTGCTTCATTTGTAAAATAACGTATAAAATAAAGACCCCACATGCTTATGAAATCATATCTGTAATTTCAATTTACTCCTCTCCCCAGACAAGAAGTGAGAATGGCTTTAAAATCATTATCTTTTAATTAAAAATAGCTTGCTTCTCTGCCTTGTAGAGCTGCAGGTCTTAGATTGGTTCTCAGGGTTTTTCTTTCTCCCTAAACCTTTATATTGGGAGGCTCTTCTCCCCAGTCCTGTGTGATCATTTCAAGCTTGTAATTCACATTTAAATTCATGTATATGCAAGATCCATCTCACTGCCTACTTGAAGTGGAACCCAGTCACACCTCCAGAATTTGGGAAGTGATGATGAAGTTTTGTTCTCCTTTTGTTTCTTTTCTTGTCTTTCTGACACAGATTCATATGTTTTCTCCCTCCACGCTGTGACACACCATCTTGCATTTCCTTTCTCTTTGTTCCCATTGCGGGGGCTGCTATGGTTATGCAGAGAAGAACTGGGAGCCATCTATGCTATCTGGGAGATTTACGCTGTTTTCCATATAGCACATTTACTGCTTCTGAGCTGATATGTTTGGTTCTTTGACTTGCTGTTTTGGGCAACAGAGAGTCCTGTAAACAAAAAAGTAATGTAACAAGGAAGGAGGCATGGGAGGTGACCAGTCTCCTCTTACCTTTTGGAAGAAAGGGTGATGGGGTCTGGACTCTACATGTTGAAAATATTAACAGCCATGTTGCTTTTACAGTGTCATCAGATTAATCATTTTTGTTCCCCTCCCCCCTCCAATTTTTTCCAAAAAATGGTATTGGGTTATGAAGCTAGAAGTATCTGTCCTTGCATGTTGGGCAGCTTTTTAAAGGAATGTGAGGTAAACTGTCCAACTTCACTTTGACCTTGCAGTATCACTCGTCTTGAGGGAGGAAACTGGTCAGGGCTTGGCCTTATTCTTCACCAACATCCCTGCAAATCTCAGAAAGCATTGCATTTTTATCAACTCCAGGGAAGGTCTGCCTGGTTTGGGATTTTTAACTTACAGGATTTTAGATCAAAGCCTAGAAGTAAGGGTTGCTTAAATAGGAGCAGTAGGCAATAGATTGAGCTTGGCATTGTTATATGGCTAAGCAGATTCTGCATTTATCTACTGTGTGTATATAAGTGGTCTGTGTTATACCATACCTAAATTTAAATATGCCTGCGGGCCTAAAGGCAGGAGTTCAACAGAACTCAGACTTGGCTTTAATGTGCGTACATCACTGTATTTAAACTACACGTATACATCGTATGTGTAAAAGTCAGTACTGTGAAATAATCTTAAAATCACAGATTTAAAATTTTCTTTGATGATTTTTACTATAGAATTAGCAGCCTTTTTAAAGATGTTTTGAAATAAACTTAGCTCTGTCATTTGTCACTTAAAAATTAAAATGCCAAATAATAGGACCAAAGATGAATGGTTAAAAAAAAAATCAAGTTTCATTGACCTCATCTACTGAAAAAAAATAATTGTTTTAGAGCTTAAGTGATGGTTGTGACCAGTATTAAAAAAGGACCTTCAAAGTAAAAAATAAGAACAAAAAATACCCCTTGTGTTTTTTCTAATCCTTTTTCTTCTCCCTCCTTTCCCCTGACCCATCTTCTAAATACAATTTAAATGTTTAGCTTTTAAAGAATAGATGTTGGCATGCGTTGGCTGAAAGCGAGACAGATACTGCAAATGTGATCTTCTGACACCTTTTTTCTGTCCTTCTTCATCTACTCAACATTCTTGGCTCTGATTTTGCTCTCACTGAAGTCAATGGCAGAACTCCCATAGACTCAGTGCAGACAGTCAGAAAGCCCGAGGCTGAACCAATTCAATCTTCACAGGTTGAAGTCTAAGCTGCATAGATTGAACCAATAAACAAGTGAACAGACACTAGCTTTTGATTCTTGAAATACAGCTACGTGCCCACAGTGGCCCAAGCCAGAAGCTAGCGGGTACTAGAGCACATCTTCCTGAGATTGGAGGAATTGCAGAGGAGGTGCAAAGCATCCTGGGATATTGGAGGACTGTGAGTTAACTTGAATCTGGAGGGGAACTGGGACAGAAGTTCAATAAACTGAAGCCCGATACTGGTTTCAGCCATTTTGAAAGTAGTTTGTGCACACTGAACTTCCATTGTGTTACAGATCTGAGCTGGTTTCCAATCACTTATACCAGTTTACGTGTAATTTCTGTCCATAGGCTAATGGTGTAGCCTTTAAAGCCTTTGATTCTTAACCAGAGTGCCATGGCACCCTGGGGTGCCATGAGATCTTTTTCAGGGTGCCACCAGCTGCTGAGCAACTGTTAGGTATGCAAACAACTACATATGATTCACAAAATAAAACTAGAGATTTCAAATAGGAATCTGCTGTCAGAAACATTCTGACCTGTTGCAGTCTTTCTGAGTTCTTTGCAATAGAAGAATTGTTTTGTTGTTTTTCTGTAGTCAGGAAACAAGTGAAAGCCAGGAGCTGATATTTTTGGAGGGGTGCCTTGATTCTAAAAATGGTTGAGAACCATTGGTTGCTAAGCCCTTAATGTTCAGAAAGCTGCACCCAGTCTTTCTGAAGAAAGTCAGACCATACAAATCTTGCTTTGGCATACCTATTGATCTCCAAACTCTCACTGAAATTCAATGAAAAATATTTTCCCATCTCACCACCCCTGCCCCCATGTCCTTGTCAACAAAGCCAGGCATGGGTTTGCCTCTTCTTTCATAAATTGTTTTACTCTGCTTTTTCTCTTTACCCCCTTGGCTTATCACAGCTCTTCATTCCTGTACTATTGTCCCCAATCTACAAAATGTTTTTCTTCTTTCTCTTCCCTCCACCCATTACTGATACCTTGCTGTTAAATCTGCCTGCTTCCTTTTATTATGCAGTTCTGATTGTTTGTAATGCATGTAGTGTGTGTTTCATTTCTATGCAACTAGGAACAACATTCCAGTTAACCCAAAATGGAATTTTAATCATGTTAATGAAGTGTGTCTAGACCTCCTCAGGTAGCTAGGCACTTCAGTTTTTACATCTCACTACAGAGCTTTTTTGGTTACTTTTTAATAGCTTAATACACTCAATTTACAGTGAAAGTTTTTATTTTTATTGTGATAGCAAGCTGATCAGAATTGGGCTCCTGCTATGCTGAATGATCATATAATCACAGATTTTAAAAAGTCTCGTGCCCCGGTGAGCTTAGTTATGGAATAGCTTTCAGAACCAAGCTATGGGGTCACGGGGGTTTTCTTCCTTATGTGCTGTCTCAGATGTGCATGCACTGTCTGTCTGTCTGTCCTGTCCCTCTTATTTTAAAGTACATGTGACTTTCTTGGCAAAAGCCACATTTTAATGAGCCGGGCATTAATACAGTCTTTCCTTTTATAGGTCAAGTACATACACATCTCAAGGCATCGATGTCACTGTTAAGTATACTCAAGGAAGCTGGACAGGAGTGCTTGGCAAAGATTTTGTTACTATTCCAAAGGGAATCAATGGCTCTTATCTTATCAACATTGCTACCATTCTTGAATCAGAAAATTTCTTTCTACCAGGAGTGAAATGGCATGGAATTCTTGGACTTGCCTACGATGTCTTAGCTAAGGTAAGTCTTCTTATGACTTGGAACAAATCTATATATTAGATGGAAAAGGCAAATGCTTTCTAATGGCTTCAGTCACACCCTGTCAACCTTTATCAATTCTGTATACCTCCCTAATAGTAGGCTTTTCAAATAGGTCTAACAGAGCTCAACAGGGCTAAGTTGGTTGCTCCCTCCAAAGCTCCATGTGAAAATTTAAATTTTTCTGATGGTGGATGATCCAATTATAGCTCCTCTAGAATGAACTAGCTTCCTCCAGAGCTTGTGAGTAATAGAGGAAGTTGGTTTTGAATGATCCTGCAGCAGCACCCGGCTGTGTTCAAGCCTCCTAATACATGTAAGATCATGAGGCTTGCTAGTAGTTGATATGCTTATTAAGTAAAGCCCTGTGGGCGTGTCTACACAAGATGCTTTACTGCGCAGTAGACTAATCTACTGCACAGTAAAACATTGCCATCTACATGTGTGTGCCATTTACTGCACAGTAGATTAGTCTACTGCGCAGTTAGCTAGTGTCTGTAAAAATACAGGTACTAGGTTAACTGCACAGTAGTTACTGTGGAGTACCACTCATGTAAATGCTGACTAGGAACAAATTTGCTCCTGGTCGGCCACAAGGGACAGGGGAGCTCTCTGTCCCTGGTCCTGGTGCTGCTCAGCAGCTGGCTCCCCCCAAGGAGCTGGAAGCCAATCAGTGTTAGGATGGGGTTGCTCTCTGCCTGCTCCCCCCCAGCCCTGCCCCCATCCCAGCACTGCAGGACTTCTGGCTCCCCATAGGAGCCAGGAGCTGAGCAGCACTGGAACTAGAGAACACTCTGCTTCCTAGCTTAGCTGGGGGGCTTGCTAGCACCTGTCCTGCTTGTGGGGCACCTGCCGGTGAGCCAATCCCCACCCAGCAGGGGACTAGCCGGGACCTGTCGTATTCATGGGGTGGCTCCCAGTGAGCCCCCTGTTGGGCAGGGAAGCCCTGCTGGTCATGGAGCTCACTTGCAGCTATGTATCCCCACATGCATGGTGCCAAGAGATCTCTGCCAACTGCAGCAGCAGCTGTCTCCCAGCCCTGTGTACATCAGGCCCCATCCCAGTGTGCACAGGGACAGGAGACAGCTGCCACTGCAGCCGGCAGAGCTCTGCTGGCCCCAATCACATTGGGACTGGCCCCTGTACCCCCTGCTGGCCCCTGAGCTAGCACCCCAGGGGAGCCTGGAGCTCCCCCTGGCTGCTACAAAGGACAGAGCAGGGCAGGAGCAGCCCTGTACTGGGCTGTTCCTGTTGGGAGCACATTTGCTCCCAACAGGGTACACATATAGGTGGACTTCCAAGGAAGGCTTACGGCGCAGTATTTTACTGTGCATTAAGCCTATATTGGATTAATAGCGCATGTAGATGAGGCCTGTGTTCATCAAGTGAAGTTGAAACTGAGAGCTCATACTAGGTAACATCCTTTACAAAAATGCTGTCACTGTCAAATGTTTATAACCTGTCCTCATCCCTACTGTTACAGAGCCAAGAAATGTACAGGTAAAGTGAATATACAACAATAATCCTGGTGTGAAAATTCAGTTAGAACTCTCACATTTACCTTAATTCTCCTGTCATAATGATTCCCTGACAAATCCAAGGACTCAAACTTATCAACCTACAACGAACAATTTTATTCTTTGTCTAGAACTAGAATGCTTTACTCCAAATTGTACAAAGGCTGTGTCAGCTTCAGCCTGTCTGCTGTCATGTACTATCAGTTTAGGAGGAGGGAAAG